GAGTTCACCTCAGAGGCTGCACTTACTTCTTGGAGAATAACTCCCAGATTAGTATAATTCTCATTTTACACACTCTCTAAATGCTGAATTGGTGCCAGCCACACTGGGAACTCAACTCCACCCAGAGCACAGCTTCTGGCCCTGGTCACATCACAGCTGAGCAGAGCAATAGAAACCATTGGTCACAGTTTGTTTGAAGTGACTAATTGATTTCAGCATCTCCCTTTTAATTAAAAAGTTAGGGATCAAACCAAAAGCACCCGACAATAATTCAGTTTTGAGAAGGATCGGTGCACTTGTCATCTGGGAAAATCAGGTGGCAGGCAGCTAAAAATAGAGATCTGAACCTCAGAATACTGTGTTCACTTGTGATGGTTTTCCTCCACTCCAGCCGCACGCAAAACCATCAAAACCTTTCCTCTGCTCCTCTGTTTGGGCAACAGTTTAATCAAACATCACATGTGTGCCAGGGCAGCCACAGACAGGCCCTACTGATGAGCAGGCTCTGCAAGCCGTGGCTGCAGTTTGTTTTCAGTGTTAAATGCTCATGAAAGTGGTGCCTGTATTTTAAAATAAGCATGTTTTTTTCATCTCCTGAATGGAAGATGGCCTGTGCCTGGGTTGTTACAGAGAGATACTTAAAGCCCCTCAGGAGCCATGTGGTGCTGCAAGCAAGGAGGATGGATACTTGTGCCAGGTCCTGCCAGCATTGTTGTTCTTCCAAACTACTCTGGACAGAGACTGGGGAACAGTTGGACTTGATGATCTTAAAGGTCTGTTCCAACCTGTTCCAACCAAGGCTGATTCTATGATTCTATGAAAGAGACACCCCTCGGTACCAGGTGGTGGGGCTGTGCACGCCTTGGGCATAGAGGTTACAACAGTGGGCAGTGCATGCCTGTGCAGTGATGTGCTGATTGAGGTGCAAGTGTTCAGTGCCCATGGTGTGCTGCTCTTCCTCTTTGAACCCACAGCACTGGCAGATGTGGCATCAGGCACAGCATCTTTTTAAATGGTAGAGCATCTTCTGGAGTACCTCCACCTTTGAAGGAACTACCTTATAAGCTTGGAAGTCTTCACAGCCAGCTGAAGGAGACGCTGAGGACTATCAGGGAGTGTGAAAGGGAGATCGACTGGTGGAGTAACTCCCTGGCGTGCCAGTCGGAACGGTTCCAGGGAGATACCCCCCAAAAGGGGAAGGACCCCCTGCCCTCTCAGTCAGAGGGGGATGGCCCGAGACAGCCCCTGCCCTGTAGCTGTTGCGCAGAGGTAGGGGACCAAAAAGACGACGAGGGTTGGAAGCGAGTTCCAGTTCGACGTCGTGGGAAACCCTCCCCCCTTCCTGCCCTGCTTCCCCAGGTGTCCCTCCGTAATAGGTTCGAGGCCCTGGATCTTGAAGGAGAGGTAGGTGAGAATGTGGGGCAAGGCCAGCCCACAAGGCCACATAGGAAAAGGGGGTCGACTTTGCACCTCAAGACTGCCTCTGTTAAGAAAGAAAGAAGGGTCATTGTAGTAGGGGATTCCCTTCTGAGAGGAACAGAGGGCCCGATATGCAGAGTTGACCCTCATCATAGGGAAGTGTGTAGTCTGCCTGGAGCCCGGATCAGGGATATCACCAGGGCGCTCCCCAACCTGGTGCACCCGACAGACTACTACCCGCTGCTGGTCTTCCAGACAGGTGGGGAGGAAGCTGCTTCCCGCAGTCTGAGGGGGATGAAGAAAGACTACAGGGCCTTGGGGCGGATGGTGAAAGAGTCTGGGGCTCAAGTGATCTTCTCCTCACTCCTTCCATCTTCCACTGATGATGTGGGAAGGAATGGGAAGATTCAGTTCATGAACAATTGGCTTTGAGACTGGTGCTGCAGGCAGGGCTTTGGATTCTTTGATAACAGCTGGTTTTATAGGGCACCAGTCTGGACAACGACAAGTGAGAAAGGTTTGTCTCACAGAGGCAAAAGGATGCTGGGGCACGAATTAGCAGGGCTCATTTGGAGAGCTTTAAACTAGATTCGAAGGGGGATGGGGTTGTTGCTGGGCTTGCCCCAGTGGGGCAGCGCTCCAGAATTAATGAAGACTGGGAGGCCTCCTATAATCCTAGGGTGAAATCGGTGTGCTCAGCTCGCTCCCTGAAATGTCTGTACACCAATGCGCGCAGCATGGGAAATAAACAGGAGGAGTTGGAAACCTGTGTTAAGTCAGGAGACTATGATCTGGTGGCAATTACAGAGACGTGGTGGGACAGCTCACATGACTGGAATATAGTCATGGAGGGCTATGTCCTTTTCAGAAAAGACAGGCCAGCCAGGAGGGGTGGTGGGGTTGCTCTTTATGTGCGGGAGGAACTACAATGCACCGAGTTCTGTCCGGGGACAGATGATGAGCGAGTTGAGAGTCTGTGGGTGAGAATTAAGGGGCAGGCTGGCAGGGGGGATACTGTTGTAGGTGTCTGTTACAGACCACCAGATCAGGGTGAGGAAGTTGACGAGACCTTCTACAGGCAGCTGAGAGCGGCCTCACAGTCACAGGCCGTGGTCGTCGTGGGGGATTTTAACTTCCCTGATGTTTGCTGGAAGGACCACTTGGCAACCCAGCTGCAGTCCAGGAGGTTCCTCCAGTGTATGGATGATAACTTCCTCCTGCAAATGGTGGATGAGCCAACCAGGAGAGGAGCGCTGCTGGATCTCATCCTCACTAACAAGGAGGGTCTGGTTGAAGCAGTAAGGGTTGAGGGCTGCCTTGGTTGCAGCGACCACGAGATGGTGGAGTTCAGGATCTTGTGTGGTAGGACTAGGAGAATACCAAGTAGAATTGCAACCCTGGACTTTAGCAGGGCAAACTTTGGCCTTTTCAAGCAATTGCTGGGGGAAATCCCATGGGCAAGGCTGCTTGAAGGTAAAGGGGCCCAAGATAGTTGGTTGACATTCAAGGACTGCTTTTTCCGTGCTCAAGATCGGAGCATCCTGACACGTAGGAAGTCAAGGAAGAGGGCCAAGAGACCTGCTAAATAGGGAATTGCTGGGTATGCTCAAGTGGAAGAGGAGAGTTTACAGGTCATGGAAGGAGGGGCTGGCCACTTGGGAGGAATATAAGGCTGCTGCTAGAGGATGTAGGAAGGCAGCTAGGAGGACTAAGGCATCCTTAGAATTAAACCTGGCAAGAAGGGTCAAGGACAGCAAAAAGAGCTTTTTCAAATACATGGCAGACAAAACTAACACCAGAGGCAATGTAGGCCCACTGATGAATGGGGTGGGTGCCCTGGTGACAGAAGATACAGAGATGGCAGAGTTACTGAATGCCTTCTTTGTCTCTGTCTACTCTGCTGCAGGCAGTCCTGAAGAGCCCTGTACCCCTGAGACCTTAGATGAAGTCAGGTCGACAGAGCGGTTTGCCTTAGTCAATGAGGAATGGGTTAGAGACCAGTTGAGCAATCTGGACATCCATAAATCCATGGGTCCAGATGGGATGCACCCGCGGGTGCTGAGGGAACTGGCAGAAGTCATTGCTAGACCCCTGTCCATCATCTTTACCAAGTCTTGGGAAACGGGAGAGGTGCCTGAGGACTGGAGGAAAGCAAATGTCACTCCAGTCTTCAAAAAGGGCAAGAAGGAGGACCCGGGTAACTATAGACCGGTCAGCCTCACCTCCATCCCTGTGAAAGTGATGGAACACCTTGTCCTTGGTGCCATCTTAAAGCATATCAAGGATAAGAGGGTTATGAGGGGCAGTCAACATGGCTTCACCAGGGGGAAATCATGTTTGACCAATCTCTTAGCCTTTTATGAGGAAATAACACGGTGGATGGATGATGGCAGAGCGGTGGATGTAGTCTACCTTGACTTCAGCAAAGCATTTGACACAGTCTCCCACAGCATCCTCACGGCTAAATTGAGGAAGTGTGGACTGGATGATCAGGTAGTGAGGTGGACTGCGAACTGGCTGAAGGAGAGAAGCCAGAGAGTTGTAGTCTATGGGGCTGAGTCTAGTTGGAGGCCTGTAACTAGTGGAGTGCCTCGGGGGTCAGTACTGGGACCGGTATTATTTAATATATTCATCAACGATTTAGACGAGGGAATTGAGTGTACTATCAGCAAGTTTGCTGATGACACTAAGCTGGGAGGAGTGGCTGACACGCCAGAAGGCTGTGCTGCCATCCAGCGAGACCTGGACAGGCTGGAGAGTTGGGCAGGGAATAACTGGATGAAATATAACAAGGGAAAGTGTAGAGTCCTGCATCTGGGCAGGAACAACCCCAGGTTCCAGTATAGGTTGGGAAGCGACCTGTTAGAGAGCAGTGTAGGGGAGAGGGACCTGGGGGTCCTAGTGGACGACAGGATGACCATGAGCCAACACTGTGCCCTTGTGGCTAAGAAGGCCAATGGCATCCTGGGGTGTATTAGAAGGGCGGTGGTTAGTAGGTCGAGAGAGGTCCTCCTTCCCCTCTACTCTGCCCTGGTGAGACCGCATCTGGAATATTGTGTCCAGTTCTGGGCCCCTCAGTTCAAGAAGGACAGGGACCTGCTGGAGAGAGTCCAGCGCAGGGCAACGAAGATGATTAAGGGAGTGGAGCATCTCCCTTATGAGGAAAGACTGAGGGAGCTGGGTCTCTATAGTTTGGAGAAGAGGAGACTGAGGGGTGACCTTATAAGTGTCTATAAATATATAAAGGGGGAGTGTCACGAGGATGGAGCCAGGCTCTACTCAGTGGCAAACAATGATAGGACAAGGGGTAATGGGTGCAAACTGGAACACAAGAGGTTCCACTTAAACTTGAGAAGAAACTTCTTCTCAGTGAGGGTGACAGAGCACTGGAACAGGCTGCCCAGGGAGGTTGTGGAGTCTCCTTCCCTGGAGACATTCAAAACCCGCCTGGACACATTCCTGTGTAACATTATCTAGGTGTTCCTGCTCCGGCAGGGGGATTGGACTAGATGATCTTTCGAGGTCCCTTCCAATCTCTAGCATACTGTGATACTGTGATACTGTGAATAGACAGTCTTGCCTTGTGCCTTGTGTCTGCTGCCTTGCACTTGGAGAAGAAGGGGCATCCGAATCCAAGAAACCAAGCAAAGAACACCATCAGCACAGAGTATGCCTCTGGCTCACAGGGATGAGAGGGGAGATAAAAGAAATAAAAAATGAACCAAGCTTTTAAGCAGAAGTTCTATAGCATCTTTAAAGGAAGGAGGTAACAGCTATGTGCAACATGTCATTCTCCTGTTGCATCCTCTTTGCTCCCATCAGATCTCCTTTCTTTTAACACCGCAGTGCATTATTGCCCCTATAAGCTATCAAACATGAACAACTGATGGAAATTTTTTCACCAAGCGGGTCAATTTCTCTGGCACCTTGGATGTCAAGCATTCCTGAGGCAATGTGGTGAAAATGCAGCTCACAAGTGGGGCATGTTTTGGGCTACAGTAAACACCAGTGCTACTCCCTCTTGGGGACTTCTCCTCCCTACTCCGTAACCCAGACTGCGCCACAAAGGAGCAGATGCTGGCACTGCTGCAATTTATTTTAATTCCAACCCCTGTCTTTTTCTTTCCCCCACCCCTCCCTTTTTTTTTCTTTTTTTTTTGATTTTGCGTGTGTCTGGGTAAATTTAGTTCCCATAAAAGTGAAGGACTGTCATCACCAGCTCTGGAGCCAACCATACTGCCGGCAGCTGTTGTGCAGGCTGTGCACACACAGCCCCCGCCTGCACTTTGGTCTGTCCTCCCCAGCCCCATGCAGCCCTTTGGTAGGTCCAACTCCTGACCCCTTCATCTCTGCCCCGTGGTCTGGAGCCCCAGCTCAGCTCACATCACACAGCCTCCCTGCCTCTGGTCCTCCCAGCCCTCCTGATCCCCTCAGCCCGGCTTGATCCTTCCTGATCACCATCTGCCCCATGCTGCAGCGTGCTCCTCCTGAACTCCTCATCCTATCCCATCTCCTGCACCCTTCTGAGATGGGCATCCAGGCAGAGTTTCCATCCCTTCAACCAAGGCAGTATCCCAAGGGCAGGTGAACCCTGAGGGGGACAGGACAAAGTCCTGCTGAGGGGTCTCTCCTCGCATGGCGGATCACAGTAAGTTAGCTCTCCTTGCAAGGGGATCTCGCCCAAGGGAGCTGCACATGGCCAGACAGAATGGCCATGCTGGAGGGTCCTGCAGCACTCCCCACTCCCAGCACCTCTGCCCTGTTCCTCCCCTGTGCTGTGCAGCATCCCTTGGCTCCCTCTGGGCATTAGTGGATCCTCCTCAGTGGGGTTCATCTCACCCAGGTCTGTGCCATCATGGATTCAGGGCAGGGGCCCAAGGAACTCTACAGGCAGACTGCTTTTCATTCAGGTGCTGAGGGACCCCATCCCACCATAGGCAGTCCAAGGGGAACCAAGGGGCAAGCGCCTCTCTCCACTTTCCCACAGCTCTAAGATCACAAGGGGATTCCTGTTTCCTCCCCTAAACCACGAGATGGGTCTCAAAGCCTGGGGAACACTTCGTTTTCAGGGCTGCTCTTTAAATGGAAGAGTTTGAACATGATTTGTGTTCTAACACACCTTTATGCCTCTGCATCCTTCTTCCCCTGATTGCTGGAATGGCCAAGTTCCCCCAGCTTCCTCTTGGCCTTGCTTATTCATGGCATTGAATCTGGTCCTACCTCCTGCACAGTGTCTGGGTGAGTCCAGCTCCTTTCCCTGCCCAGGGCTGGGTCCTGCAGAAAAGTCAGTGTGGGTCTGGACTACTGGGCTTCCTCCATCCTGCCTGCATGGAAACACTGTTCTCTGAGGCAAGGGGAAGGCAGCTCCTTGGTGGTGGCTCTTCTTCAGAGTGGATTCAGCCTGTAGCAGAGGGTTGAAATTGCCTGGGGCATGGCCAGAAGGACTCAGCCCACCAGGAGCTTGCTCATGGCAAGAAACACAACGCTTGCACCAGCAAGCACTGAGAGGCTCTTCAAAGCATCCAGACCAGCTCTGCACACGCTCCCCTTCTGAAGCTCTTAAACACCTCAGACAGGAGACCCCAAAGTCCCTACCAGTGTCTGCTGAGCTGGGAGAGGAGTACACATGAGGAGCCCCTGTTCAGGAGCAGGTAATGCTCAGCCTGTTGCTGGCCCTGCTTGGAGGTATGTCCTGCCAGCGCACTGCATTCCCATGAGGATGCAGTCTGCTGGCAAGCCTGACCAGTCCCTCCGAGCTGCTGGCGGGCTGTCCCTGACAAGGACTCATCCTGCTCCTGATCCACCAGGAAGCCAACTGCACAGGAAGCCGAGCTGAGCTCCTTCACCCTCTCCTGCTCTGCTGCACCACTGGAATCTTCTCCATCCAGCATCTCCAGCAACCACACGGTGCTCCTGAAGCCTTGCCATGAGTTTGCCTGTGCCCCCAGCTGCCTCCATCCCTCTCCCCAGGAAAAAAGGGTGATTCACATCTAAGGGGTTTGGAGGGGCATCCTGGGGGCACAGTGGTGTGAGGTGTTTGACAGGGTTCAGCACAACTTCACCTTGTATGGAGGAGATGGCTGGGAAGCGGTTAACACTTTGGTACTGGATTGATTTCTCCTGGAAGGAAGGAAGTGTCCTCACACAGAAAAAATGCAGAAATAACAGGGTTGAGTGTTTTTTTAATTTTTTTGGGGGTTTTTCTTTTTTTAAAAATAGCTATTTTTTTTTTTCCAGCCATCTGTGCCATTTGCAGCTGATGGGAGGGGGGATGGTGCTGGATGGGGGGAATCATTTGGGTTTGGGACCGATACTGCACTTACAGTCTACAAAACAAGAGAGGACATCTGTCCCCAGTGGAGTATTACGCACAGATCTAGGATTTTAGTATTGCGCTCACATCCAGTGCTATCATTACAGATGCACAGAATGGAGATGGTCATGCACAGTCCTGCACTCCCTCCTCCTTCCTGTCTTCTTTGTCTGCAATCTGCCACTGCTGCACCTGAGCAGCAGTGGGGAGCATGCCTCTGCCTGGGCCACAACCTGATCCTTTGCACCTCTGCAAGGCCAACCACAGAGAACAGCTTCCTTTGCAGATTGCAGGTCTCCAAGTTCTTTCAGGAGGAGCCCTCAAGAGACTGCAAACTCATTCTCCTCCAGATAAGATGTCACTGCAGACAGCACCATCCCAAGTGCTAGTCATGTAGTGCTGCAGGTGATGAGCTGGCTACAGATGACCCCCCAGAATGCTCTAATTCCCATTTAGGGACTCTGGTGACTGGCTATGCTCCTTGTTAGCATGTCACCAGCCAAGTATAAAACCTGCCAGGCTTGTTTGGGTGCTCTGCTGGTGCTTCCACACGGATCATGTTGACTGGCGCAGAGCGGCAGAGCCGTTTGCTGGGGAATGGCTGCTAGAAGCATCCCAAGGGAGCTCCTGCACAGGAAGAGTGTGCAGAAAGGGAGGAGGCTGCTCCTGCTAAAACTTGATCCCACACGGAAGATAGCGATACTGAGGTGAGCCTCAGCTGGGATGCCCTTAGTCACAGCCCTGGCACTGGCATGGAGGCCAGAGGTCCTGGGTGGGTGCTTGCTGGCCCTGCCATGTGCTCAGAGCGGGGTGGGCTCTGGCTGTGGCAGTGCCTCTTTGCCAAATGCTTTTCAACAAAACCTTCATCCTGACGTTGACTTTTGCTTTTGGCATGTCCCTCCTCTGCCTTGCCTGGTTATTTCCAATGGTGTGATCACCCATGCAGCATTTTCAATCCCACCAAAAGAGCTCATTCAAGTTGTTAGCAAATATTCAAATGAAGCAAGATGCTGCTCTTGTTGGCTCAAGCAGGACAGGACCCAGTTGTGTGCAATGTGCTCAAAGTGTGAGGTCTTGAAAAAGAAGTGACCTGGAGAATGCAGCTCTGCTGGAGAGGTCCTAGGTCCCTTACTCCTGCCCTTGAATCTGGACAGTAGAAGGTGGAGAGGAGAGGGGCAGATGAAAGATGAACCATAGGAAGAAGAGGGAGTTGAGTGAGCAGAACATCCCACGTGAATTTTATTATCTATAGATAAATGTGGAGGTTTTCATGTGCCAACTGGAGGTTTGCATGTTGTCCAGAGCAGGCAAATGGGAGCAAATGTGGTCAGGAGGAGACGGGTAGAGATGGCAGAGTAGAGAGGACTACCAGTGACTGGGAGAACCTGTTATGACAGCAGGGAAGTGAGCATGTGCCCCATGGTTCTTTACAAGCCCTTCTGTCAATTGCACTCACTTGCCTTGGGGCTTTGGAAGAGAGGAGCAGCAGACTGGTGGCTACATCCCATGATTTACAATACATCTGATATTTCTATCCCATTAATAAAACACGCAGTTGGCCATGAAAGGCACATCTGCCTATTTTGAAGACTATAATGGATAAAGCTCTGACACATGGATTTCTGTAAGAAAGCTAGCACTGTAAATAACATTCCAAAATGATGTATTCCATCAAATTCAACGGGACAGTTATTGTATGCTAATTAAATACTACTGAAGTATTCAACGGTTGGATGGTGAATAAAGACACAATTTTAGAAAGTCCCTCAGAACACCCACAGACTCCCAGGACTTTTACTGCTGTCCTCAGCCTGCAACCAACTCTGATAAGAGGCTGTGGACAGGCAGAACAGGCTATTCCCCTATAAACTGGATCCAGCTACCAGCAGTATTAACTGAGTCAAGTCACCTGTCTGTCAAGACCTCTGGGATCATTGGCACAGCTGCAATCCACTGTCCAGGTGGTTTAATGATATCAAAGATTACGCATCCTGTCTCCGGGAAATCAGGAAGTGGCAAATGCCCCATCCCTGGCAGTGTTCAAAGCCAGGTTGGACAGAGCCTTGGGTGACATGGTCTAGGCTGAGGCATCCCTGCCTGTGGCTGGGGTTGCAACTGGGGTTGGAACTTTAAGGTCTCTTCAACCCAAACCAGTCTGGGATTCCATGATCTCTTGCTCCAGTCATTTGTTTTCTCTTGGGAGAAGAGCTCCACACACTCCTCATTGATGCCTCTTGCTCCTTCCCAGGATGATTTTCTGTGTTGCTTTCCAAGGCTTTCTTCACTTTAATTCACACAGTCCAACCTTACTTTGCCTTTTGAATGTGTGTTTTGGGCCCTCCAACCCGGGCAGACTCTTACAGGCTACAAACAAGCAAACAGACAAAAAGGGCAAACTACAAAGAGAACTCCAGTATTTGCCATGGGAGACGTGTGCTAAGAAAGACAGGTCTTGCCCCAGCTCTAAACTGACCTGCTCGAGCCCCTGGATGTTGGCTGCAGGCATGGAGAGCCCCAAGGGAGTTCCCAGGAGCAGTGCTGTGCTCCACAGTGCCACAGAAAACCCTTCTCCAAACTCCTGTGCTGTGGCAGACCAATTCTCAAACAACTCCAGCTTGTAGGACTTCCTCATCCTCAGCCCTTTTAACTGACAGACAGAAAGCTAATGGAGACAGGCAGACAGACAGATTTCCAAATCTTCACTGGTGCCTGACATTATAATATACATGTAGGATCTCATTCCACCCAGCACCTTGGTCTGGAAGCTTTCACATGAACCAGCCCGTGAGTGCTATGCTCTCTTTACAAGAGCAGTGTATTGATAGAGCCTTTGGACACTTTCAAGTCTGCTAAAAAGATGTTTTGAGGTGACAGATCTTAAGCAACACACAGAGCTGAGTGCTGCTCTGCTCTCTACACCCTTCCCTGCTGCCAGGGGAAAGCAGCCACTATCAGTGATAGCTGGATCCAATTTATTAGGCGCTTCTAGGAGACATTCATCAGGCAAGGAGATAAATAATCTTCAGATGGAACAATTAAATTTAATTGCCTGAAGATTATTTGTCTCCTTCCCTGATGATTGTCTCTGCTGAGAGCCTTATAAATTGGATCCAGCTATCAGCAATATTAACTGTGTTTCCCATAAAGACTGGTCCAGCTGCCCAGACCAAAACACTGGGCTCAGAATAAACTTTCACTGTTACACATGGAAGATGATGCTGCCTTGAGGCTTGTGTCTTTTTCCTAGCAGATAGAAAGGTCCACAGTCTAGTGGCTGGGTTTTCTGGTCCATGATGGGTGCCTCCTGAGCTCAGCAGTGCTGCTCCTACTCCAGTGGCCCTGTGGAAGTGATGTCCTGCTTCGAAAAGGCTTGAGGAGGGATGTGGTGAGCCCTGAGATGGACCGTGAAGGGTTGCAGTGAGCTGGATTTTGTTGTGGCTGGAGTACTGAAGAGGGTAGTGGCATCCATAGGACACGATGGAGCAGTGACAGCATACGCAGGAGCGTGCTTGTGCTGCCTGCAAGAG